CCTTTTCTGTATCTTTCCCAGATCTGTGATATCCTGTTTCAAATCAAGATGGGTAGCCATGTTAGTCTGTCTGTAGCAGTAAAAAAGAGCAAGAGTCCAGTAGCACCTTAAAGACTAACAAAATTTGTGGCAGGGCATGAGCTTATGTGAGTCATTGCTCACTGTCTGAAGAAGTGAGCTTTGACTCACAAATTTTTGTTAGTCTTTAACGTGCTACTGGACTCTTGCTCTTTTCATCCTGTTTTAAAAGTGAGGCAACTGAACCCGTACATGCTGATCTAAATGTGGCCACATCATTTTTTTATAAATGCATCACAATCTGGCCTTTTTTCAGTCTTTTTTTTCTGAATTATCCTTTTAGAATTATCCTTTTATGAATTATCCTGTCCTTTCAGACAGTGGGCACGATCACATGCATAATTAGCCGCACCATAGGCGCAAATGCCGGTCAGATTTAAAGGGCGCGACGGCGCGATCAGACATGAACAACTGGGAAGCACCCTGCACCCATCAGCAGCCTGTTTTGCTCCACCTAGGGCTGTCAAGTGGGGGCAGGGGGCGGGTAAACCCCCGCTTCGGAGGCCCAATTCCCGCCGCTGTAGAATCAGACCCCGGGGGGAACCCCCCCCCCCCCCCCGTCTTAACCAGGAAAGCACCGGGAGATTCGCTGTGAGCAAACACCACTTAGATTCAATGGGGGAGGATTTCTGTTGGTGTCTCTACTTAGTAAGCCATTGACCTCACTGTACAACCATATTTTAAAAACAGGTTCTGTTCCCCAAGATTTCTTTCCTTTAGTCACTGCCAGTTCAGGTGGTTAAGACTGGGGGAAGGCATTGTGTGCCTCACTTAGCACATATGTTGAATCTCATTTGACATTTCTTGTTCAGTCACCCTTTTCAGAGAAATCCTTCTGGAGCTTTTTGAAATCTGCTGTATATTCCACTATCCCAAATCATTCTCTGTCCTGTTCAACCTGCTAACTCCTGACTCCATATCACGTATGGATGTTAAATGGCCCCAGGCTTAATACAGGCCTTTGGGAGATCTCACCCCACTTTTTCCATTGTGAAAACTGCTGGTTTGTTTCTACACACTGCTTCCTATCCCTTTTAGTCATCAATCCATGAAAGAATCTGTTCTCCTGTGAGTTTATGAGCCATTTTGCTGGTGTGTCAAAAAGCCTCTAAATATTTATTGTCTATGAGATTGTCCCTTTGTATATGCTTGTTGACTCTCTCAAAAAGCTTCTGAAAGGCCAGTGAAACAAGACTTACTTTTGCAGAAGCAGCCTTACTGATTCTTCCTCACCAAGACTTGTTCTTCCATAAGGTTAATAAATCTAGCTTTAATTATGCTTTCCATCCACTTACCTGGGACAGAAAATAAGTTGACAGGTGTGTTGTTCACAGTTTATGCTATTAAAATGTGTGTTGTGTTGGTAACTTTCCAATTCTCAGATAAAGAGGCTGGTTTTAGTAGCTTTGGGAGTTCTTGCTAAAAGGACAGGTGACTGCCCTCCTGCCCCAGTGACCTGTTAATTTGCAATTTGTCAGCCAGTTCTAAAATGTCACCCTTCATCTAGCATAGTTCTTTAAACAAATTAAGCTAATTTCTAGCCCTTGGGACAGCAGAGAAATGTCAGAACATGCACAGACCTTGTAAACTAAAAAAAGAAAAGAAATTGGCCAGGATGGGGGCCGAGGCTTCAGTAGGATGAGTCTTTTTATAACTCCTTGTAAGGTTCCACAGTCAAACAGTTGAGTACACGCTTATCATAAGGTTATACTTCATTGTCAGAGCTATAGATGCAGTAACATCGTCACTGTTAGGAATGGCTACTTTCCTACAAGCATAATGGGATATAGGGCATTTGTATGCACACACACCCATCCCTAGGCCAATCAGCCTGACTCCCACTCGTGGGAGAATGGGGCCCCAGGCCATTAAAGCCAAAGCTGGGAATCGAAACTAGTCCCACAGGTAATTGATGGGAAGACACTACACAGGCAGCCTACAAGGTCAGAGATAATAAGGAACGAAGGGCCGCAGCAGTTGGTACACAGGTCAAGCAAATGCACTCCTGCCCATAAACATCATGGCAGCATAGCTGACACTCCTTTAGAGCCAAACGTCTCTTGCCGCACAAGTCCCTCACACCCTCTCTGTTGCCAGAATCATTCTAACACCCGGCACTCGCAACATGGAAATTGTATTTAATTGGATTATGTTAGATAATACAAATATATTACATTATAGATAATTTAATTATATCTGACAAGTGAGATGTATGCTACAGGTAATGTCCAAAATGCCTCATTGGCAGTGGTCCAGATTATCAGCTACCTCTGGGGGAATATTGGCAATCCTGCATAAACCTGGCACATGTTCAGAATAAGAACTCAAGTAGTGAATATGGACAATTGTCTAATGGCTGTTGTCAGCTTGCAGTCATGTTTTTGGACATTCACCAGATAAATCCAAGGTCGATAACACCCAGTAGGTATCTCTGCATTCTTTCGATCCGGCTCCAGTAGCCAAGGGGAGCAAAGACTGCCTGTTATAGGGAGCACCACCATGGAGGATTCTTCTTGCTCAGACCAACCAGCTTGCTTGAGTTGGAACTTTTCACAGCCTTTACCAAACAACCAGTTCCAGTCAACAGTTGTTAGGAGATTTCTTTCCCAGGGTAGCTGATCTCCTGGCTGTTTCCTCCTTTGGGCAAAGGTGGGTGGGGGCGGCACCTGTTCCAAATCCCTCAATCAACTTCCTTCAAGTCACCAGTTTGGAGTCCCCAACTTTGTTGAATGTGTGGGCCAGGGGTTCCCAACCTTTTTGAGCCTGTGGGCACCTTCAGAATTCTGACACAGCATGGTGGTCAGAGTCAACCACAAAACGGCTGCTGCATTTTAAGTATTGAGGCTGGAGACAATAGTCAAACAAAGAAGGCTTTATTCAGAACATTGCTCGCTCAGGACTGCTCTGCATAGAGCAGCACTCAAACTTATACGATTTCAACAGTAAACTATATACAATGTAACTATATACACAAGGTCTGATTGGACCTAAGCAGAGCTCTGTAATTGGTTACCTTAGGTGGCTTCAGGACCAATGGGTGGTCTTTAGTAGACAGCCAATAGAATGAGAGAACTAGGATACCAGAGGGTAATTCAAACAGCATAGGAATAAACCCTAGAACACAACACTGCAGGAGGTTTCGCTAGCCACAAAATGGCTGCCATGGCTTACCTTTAGTCACACAATGAAGATCCTTATGCTGTGGTGGCACCTATTGCCAAAGCAATACTTTTAAAATCTCCAGTAGCCAATCAGAAACCTTGCTTGGCAAAAGCCTCACCTGACCATGGCCACTTTCTAAAAATACTTGTTTGGCACCATGTTGGGGACCCCAGGTGTGGGCACTTTTGAAATTTTGAAAATAGGTGATTGGCATTGCCAATGGATGCCATGGGGGCAGGTCATAGTCAGCTACAAAATGGCTGCCACCATAGGGGCTGGGACAAGTCTCAAAATGTTAGGAGTTTCCAAGCCAAGTTTCTATCATAGGCAGATGTTTCTGAATGGGTTATATGGGCATATAAAAATGGGATGCCTTCTGGGCTCCTCTGAAGCACTTCCTGCTTTCCTGAGGTGGAGGGAAGCAAGGACTGGAGAAGATGATTTGCAGTAAAAGGAAGTAGGCACCAAGAAGAAGACAAAGAGAAGAAGAAGAAGAAGAGATTGGATTTATACCCCACCCTTCACTACTCAAAGGAGTCTCAGAGTGGCTTACAATCTCCTTCCCTTCCTCTCCCCACAACAGACACCCTGTGAGGTAGGTGGGGCTGAGAGAGCTCTGAGAGAACTGCCCTTGAGAGAACAGCTCTGAGAGAACTGTAACTGACCCAAGGTCACACTAGCAGCTGCATGTGGAGGAGTGGAGAATCAAACATGGTTCTCCCAGGTTAGAGTCCATGCTCCTAATCACTATACCAAACTTATCAGAGGGCACCATGACATCCATGGGTACCACATTGTGGATCTCTAAGCTAGATTCTTAACGGCATTTTGAACGTTTACTGTTAACTAATAAATAGGCAACGAAATGCGTAAGACAGTGAGGAATTTCACATTACCCTTTTTAAGCCGGTTTGAAGCCATTTTTGATCCACCGTGGAGTAAACCGATATAGGGCTACCATTTCACACATGGCTTTCCCCTACCGGTAAACAGCGGGATCTAAAGCGGTTTGCCATTTCAGACTGCACTGCTTTTTCCCGCTTTTTCCTGCTGTTTTTCGCCCGCACGGGCAGTCTCCGGCTTTTTTTAAACGTTCACTTTAGAGCGCTATAGCGCTATAACACAACACTCCAGGCATTCCAGTGGGGTTGCCATAATACTGTTTTGCTGTTGTGTTATAGTTATATAGCGCTCTAAAGTGAACATTAAAAAAAAAAGCCGGAGATCGCCCACGCAGGCGAAAAACAGCGGGAAAAGGGGTTTCGGATCCGGAAGAAGAAACTGAAGACTACTTGGAAGTGGTTTACAGGTAAAACGTTTCAGCCCCATTTCCTGAACAGGATAGAAGCGTTTGTGTGTGAAAGTACAAATATATTCCGGTAGGGAACCGGTTCTAAAACGGTTCTGTCTGAAATGTCAGACCAGAAACCGTTTGGGAACCGTTCCTGAACCGGAATATATCGCCTGTCTGAAATTTCTCAGTATTTCAGACAACTGTTCCATCACTCCCGCCCTGAGGTAGAAAGTTCTTCCTTGTTTATCCTAAATCTCTCCTCTGCCCCAATTGTGGTGAACTTATTTGCTTATTATCCTATTAGAAGACAGCGCAATTGGTTGCTCCCCTTCTTCTCTAGACCAGTCTCCTCCTCCCCCTACCGAATCACCCACCTTGGGTCTTTCCACTTTCTTTTGCTCTCCTCAACCCCACTCTACCAGTTGAGCAAAAGGGCCAGGCATGATCACTGTGTGCTGTGTTGCAGTTCATGGCCTGTGGAAGGAATGGTCCCCTTGGAGTCTGTGCTCGATGACTTGCGGGCGAGGGTCCCGGATCAGAATGCGGCACTGCATTGCTCCCCAGCATGGCGGGAAGGCCTGCGTGGGGCCTGAGGTGCAGACTAAGCCCTGCAATATCGCTCTCTGCCCCGGTTAGTATCCAGCTGCTTGGGTTTTCCTATCCTTCCTTTCTTTTCCCTTCCCACAGTTTCCCCCCCATTCCTCAAAAGATAATTGACTACCCCCCCATCTGTATACAGAGGTGGTGTGGTCATCCCAGGGTGGTAAGACAATCTGATCAAAGAGCCTACTTGGGAGATGATTCCAAAGGGCCTGGAGGCATTTGCTAGTGTTTTTGAGGACATGGTCGATTCTGGGGAAGAGAGGGCTAAACATGGGGAAGAAGAGAGACTTTTAGCAAGGTTTGTTTTATTTCGATGCTGAGGTGGGAAATTGCTTTGTTGGCTGTTTTTGACTTCATCAGCCGTCTTTGTGGGTGATTAAGCCTTCTTTGACCTGTACCACTTATGACTGTGGGTGGAGGGAATTGTATGCTTGAAAACTCCACCCACCGAGCTCTCTGTTTACATAAAAATGTAATGTGACATCCCAGGTTTTTGTATTGTGATCCCCACCTGCAGTTTGAAGTGGTACACTCAAAGGAAGGAAAAAAGCTTCAGCATTTGGTTCTGCTGATTTGTATAAACTGGCCTTGAATCAGCTAAAGGGGGGGGGATCTGGGGGGGGAGGCGATTGCAGAAGGCCGATGACTTTGAGCAAGAGTCAGGAGTCAGAAGACAGATAAGTATGAGGGCATGAAACGTGCCTTGTTCTGAACTGATCTTTGCTACATCCAGCGGGAGCTGGGGCAGATGAGGATCTCGTTTAATGGGAAAATCAGATTATATGAGCCACATACATGCACGTATCCCCCACCCCACCTCCAGTTTTAAGTTATTTTCCATCCTTGGTACTCTCTCAGCCCACTGCTCTTTACTTCTTTCTTTCTCTCTGAATCTGACCCATCTTCCTACTTCCCCCACCCCCGGTTCCCATGACAACGGTGTCCGGCTCCCTGTCAGACTAGGGCCGGGAGAGCAGTGCTTGCAAGGTTGTCAGTTTGCAAGATGGCTGTTTTGTATAATGATGTGTTGCCAAATGAACTCATCCAGATTCTAACCGGAGAGGGGCTGGAGAAGGGAAACACGAGTATGGAAACATTTGCCTTCTGAGAACCAGTTCTTTGATGGTGGCTGGCTCTCTGTGGCAGCATCCTATGTTGCTCCGATAGTATCTAAAATGGGGGAGCCCGACAGGACAGCATCATGACTGCAGCTTCTGCTTGCATCAGCAGAAGGGTGCTGGTGTCTGTCTATGGCAAATTTCCTTCCAAGGACCTCCAGGTGGCCTATATGCCCCATCCCATTTCCCTGTGAGTGAACTTACGCCAAGAGGAGGTGACTGACTGGTCCAAAATTCTTCATGGCTGAGAGGGGATTCAGGTTTCCTTGCTCCAGCTCTGTAAACACTATACCACATAGGCAGGAGATATAAGCCTGAGGTTACAGCATTTCATGTGCCACTAGAGTACTTGGGGGGTGGGGGGTGGAATTTGAACTGAGTTGCTGGATCCAGGCAAGGATTGTGCATTCTCCAGCCCACGGTCTCCAAACTCAGATCCAGGGCAGGCCTGCAGTGTGAAATTTAGACAGGATGCCACAAATATTATTTTTAATAGAAAGGCAGAATATTATTTATTTCATTTATACTCTGCAATCTTCCCAGTGGGGGCCTCAAAGTGGCGTATATTGTTCTCTCCTCCATTTCATCCTCACAACAACCATGTGAGGTAGGTTAGACTGAGACTATGGCTGGCCCAAGACTGAGACTGTGACTGACCCAAGGTCCTTCCACAGCAGAGTGGGGATTTGAACCTGGGTCTCCAAGATCTTAGTCCAACACTCTAACCATACATACATCACAAGCCTGGCCAGTCCGTAGGCTTCATACTGTTAACCAATTGCAGGGTCTGACATTGCACATTCCTGTTGGTTTCTGTGACCAAAGAGAGCTCCATCATCTGAATACATGTGGTCCCAGCCCAGGGTGCTTCCTAGGCTCATTCCCTTAGCCTCGGATTACGAAGCTCCTGCCATTGCCACGTCTGACTTGCCCTGTTTGCAGTGCATGAATTGTGTGCGAGGCTCATGTTACAGCGGCTCACCAGAGCTTTGGGTGTGGGACATCATGGTGCGCAGTTGGCCACTGTGCTTCTCATATGCAGTAAGAACCTGCCTTGTGTCTTCCACACACTGTAGCAAAACTGAGTGTTGGCAGGGAGCAGCCTATTTGTGGATTCCCAAGGGAGGCTGCATCTCTGGCTGATGTTTATTTCTTCCTGGAATCCATGATGGCCTCTTCCTGCCTTTATACATTGGTCTTGTCCTTCAGGTACCGTTCTCTTCAAAGAGCAAGATCGTAGGCTGGGCTTATTCCACACACGGTCCCTCGGGGCTTGTGCAGCTTGGTTGCCATTTATTGGGGGCCGCCAGGTGCTTGGGTACCCCAAAACAGGCACAGCGACCAAGGGAGAATGCAGTGTTGTACAATCCAGTTGAAAGCTCAGTTCTTGGAGCAAAGAGGCCTTTTGAATGACTTTCTTGGTGCTTTTATTGAGTTTCTGCGCTGTATGAGAATTCTTGCAAACATCCATATATCAGAGGCTGTGGGTGTCAGGGTCAGTGAAGAAGAGATTTTGGCAAGCTAAGTACAGGGAGAGGCAAGTGTGGAAGTCTGAATTCAGGCAAGGAGTTCAAAACCAGAAGGTGGCTTGCATGGCACAAAGAAAAAGTAAGGCACAGAGGACTGGCAGGGAGCAGTTTTTGCTAGGGTCAAGAATTAAGTTTCAGAAAGTAATAGGAGTTCTGAATGTGCACCTCCTGGTGCTCATCTGGTGTGACACAGGCTGTGGACCCAGATGCAATGTAATATGTAGCTTACCACCTATAGTGTTGGTTTATACTTGTTTTGGACAGAATAATAGAAAATGAGCAGAATCTCCTGTGAAAATACCTGCTCATTTCTTGGAAAGGGCCAAGACAGGTGTCTAAGAATTTTCAGAAAGCAGTAGGAGTTCTGAACATGGAGCTCCTGGTGTGATGAGACAGTAGACCCAGATGCAGTGTAACGTGTAGCTCAGCCTATAGTGTATTGGCTTGTCCTTGTTTTGCATGGAGTGGTAGGAGATGAGTAGAATCTTATATGAAAATACTGGCTCATTTTCAAAACTTTGCCTTCAGTCATGAGCAATGTTCCCTCTAAGCTGTGGAGTCTTGTGAGCAAAAATTCTACTTTGTGCGCGACTGGCTTTATAGTTGTGAGCGAGCGATTTGGCTACTGCATGAATTAGTTTGCTCTGGAGCTGTCTTTCCTGAGCTCAGACAAAAATGTGTGAGCTGGAGGCTAAAAAACTGTGAGCTGGCTCACACTAACTCAGCTTGGAGGGAACACTGGTCATGAGGCCTAAGAACGTGAATGTCACTGGAGTGGTTTTGCTTCGTACCTAGGCTGGAACTCCTAGCACAAACCCCAACCCTACAATGAAATTGGCCACCCTCTCTCTCCCTGTGTAATGGTAAGGGCTTTGGCTCTGAACTAGATCTCCTGGAAGGCCACCTGGATATTGAAGCCAGGTGTGGCAGGCTGAGAGCACAGTTCTCCTTCAAAGTGGCCTATTGGCAGAGCTTGTGGCCTATCCCTCTGTGGCTGCTTGGCTGAAAAGTAGGGGGTCATATTTGATCCAGGAACCTACACTTTCTGACCCTAGTTATAGACCCTTCCTTATGTGCCATTGTTCTGCATTCCTCTAGGCCCATCCCTCATCTTTGGTTGCCACCGGTGGGCCATGGGGGAATGCACAACAGCATTGTATTCGGACATGAGGAAAATGTACAAGAAGTGATGAAAAGGGGATCTAAACCCAAGGTTGCTGGCTGTGGCAGCAGTGGCTGTTCACTTGGCCTTTGGGTGTTCTCCTTTTCTCTCCCCCTCCCTTTTCTCAATTCAGTCTGCTTATAATAGTCATCTCACTAGAGCGGCCATCCTGTCCCTCCTCTCGGGCAGGTACCTCTAGCATGGGACAGCGGCCAGGGTTAACTTGTAGTGTGCACAGGACATGACAGAACAGCCAGGGTTATCCTGTAGTGTGTGGAGGATGCAGGAGAATAATCAGTGTTAACTTGTAGTTTGTGGTGGAATTGTGGGTTGGTCTTTGGAGACTCCAGCCGTAGAACAGGAAGCTGGATGAGATGGTAGTGAGAAGCAGCAGGATCACAAGAGCCTTTTACATCTTTTCCCCTTACATTGATGGACTTTCTCCTGTGTTTCTTCTGACAGTGGAAGGCCAGTGGCTGGACTGGGGATCCTGGAGCCGCTGCTCTGTGTCGTGTTCCAACGGGACTCAGCAGCGCACCCGCAAATGCAGCGTCTCAGCTCATGGCTGGGCAGAGTGCAAAGGGGCTCATGCCGATGCCAGGGAGTGTTACAATCCTGAATGTCCAGGTAAGACTTACACCAGTCTCCATCGCAGGAGGAGGGAGAGTCCATTTGGGCCCCCAGAACGTTTGTTGGCAGTATTGTTTGTCACTTTCCCTGGGACTGGTCTAATCAGCCAGGACAGCCAGGACTGAAGTGCTGAGTCCTGTTCCTGCCATGGAGTTGGTGGGTAGCCATAGATCAAGTACAGGGCTGGCAGGCCTGTAAAAACACCCAGCATGATGGTGTGTGGTGTGGTTGTTTGCAACAAATTTGTGGGGGGCACTAGAACCTTAAGGAAGTTCTAAGGTCAGGAGGCAATTGGGCAGCTGCAGGTATTTGTCAGGAGGCAATTGGGCAGCTGCAGGTATTTATCTTAAGTATTGCCAGAAGTCCTGCTTTTCTTCACCCCCTTCCCCCAAGCTCAGAATTAGGAACTGTCAAAATCTTGGCCCAAGGCCTTCATGCCTTCATGTGTTCACACCTTAGAATCTTCTTCAGTGCCAGACCGTCTGCTTGGCAGGCAGTAGGATGTGAATAAACATTAGAAGACTGGCCTTCTACCCTCCCCAGACCTTCACCCTGGTTCAATACAGGCTTCTGTGTTTCATACACTAAGCTTTCTTAGACCAAAGCAGACCCTTGTTCTGTCAAGGTCAGGATTGTCTCCTCTAACCAGCTGCAGCTCTTCAGGGCTGAGGTCTTTCTCATCATCTCCTATCTGCTGGAGACTGAGCTTGCGACCTCCTGCATGCCAAGCAGAGTCATGGATCCAGCTGACTCATGGATCCAGCTTTGCCATCCTCCAGTTCTTTGACTGCCCCATTCTTTGCCTTCGGCCCCAGTTGTCCTGGCAAACAAAGCAGGTCATAAATGCCACCAATCAATGTTGGTTACTCCAGATAACTTCATCCCAGGGCCTCCACTCCAGCCTCTGGCCTCAAACACCCTGATCCTGAGAACAAACCCACCAGGTCTTAATTCAGGCAGGGCTGCCCCAGCCTGGCCCTGACAGCAATGAAACACTGCAATGCCAGGAGGGTGGGATTGGGAGGCAGTCGCCTGTAGACCAGAAAGAAAGGTTTGCAGCCATTGTCCAAGATGTTTAAAGCTCAGGCCTGACTCAGGCATAGGTTGTAGCTTTGAGGAGAGGAGGGCAGGTCTCTGGCTTTATGGTCCCCCTTGGAGCTGGCTTCCCCAAACGGCTGACCCCTGGATCGCTCCTGCCCCAGTGCCTCAGGTGGCATCCAGAGCTCAAACTTGGCAAGGTATGCCTGAACGTCAGCACCAGGCTCTGCCAATCTGTCTGGAGCAGCAGCTGTTCTCCATAAAGCCGTAGCGCCTAGTATGGTGGGTTCAGAGATGCCAGTCATCCAGCAGCAGTGACAGATGGCCCTCGGCTGCCTTATTTTCCCCCAGCATCGATTTTCATTTGCCGGTTTTTTATAGACGAGTGACAGCTGGGGCTGGAAACCAGAAATGGAAACAGAGGAGCTGAATGGACCCAGAACTGGTTGTCAGGGCAGTTAAAATCTCCTTGGCACCTTTTCCCCCCTGGGGAGAATGCAACTTGCATGGTTTGCAGTTTGTGATTTGGGGAAATGCTTTGAAGCCCTCACGGTGTTCATTCTTACAGTTGCCCTTTGCACTGAGTTTGGTTTGGCCTGTGGCCACGTGCTAACTCTGTAAACAGAAGTAGGATTAGAACACAGAGCTTCCAGATCCAACTCTTGCTGGCTGCTGGCTAGTTCTGTCCTGTGGCAGATCTGCTGAGAACTTGAAAGAAGCCCTGGTGGAACTCCACTGCATGGTTTCAGAATCCTCATAGCTTGAAAACCAGGGTCAATAAATGAGCTGGTTGGTTCAAGTCAGTTTGTGAAAGTCCATGCCCACCTGCCCTTCTGTTCTCTGTGCATAGCAGCCTCGTGTCCCCATTCTGCATGGCCTGTGGAGTCCCTTCAAAGTTTCCTTGCCTGCCCACTGCTTTCTTGTTGTAAGGAAGCAGGCACTGGGTGAGGTTTGTTTGTTTGTTTGTTTGTTTACTTCATTTATACCCCACCTTTCTCTACCAGAGTGGCTTACATCATTTCTCTCTCCTCCATTTTATCATCACAACAACCCTGTGAGGTAGGTTAGGCTCATCCAGCAAGCTTCCATGGCAAAGTGGGGATCAAACCTGGGTTTCCCTTATCCCAGTCCAGCACTAGTCCACTACGCTACACTGGTTCTCATCACTCCCACTTCCTCTTTGACTCCTTCTTCCATCACTGTCATGTCTGCACTACCCATTTTTTGGCTGAATTTATCCAGTTTCCTTTTGAAGCCTCCCTGACGATGGGTGTGATCACACAAGCAGTTTGGCCCGACATAGCCACCCCTCCCCTCTGGATTAAATGGGCGCAGTCACACAGCCACGTCCTCAGGCACACTCACCCCATTGTAGGATGACTTGGAGCTGGGTTAAGAGGGCACAGCATCACAAGTGGTGTTTTTCGTTCCCCGCTCATTCGTTGCACATGGCCAGATGTCTGAATGTGGGGGAGTGCATACAAAATGGATTGGCCGTCTGAGCCTGCAGATTCGTTTCTGCCATTGGGATGGTGTTTATTTTAGTTTTTGCTTATATTCACGCATGAGCACGTATGAGCGTGCATAAGCGCACATGTGCCTACCTGCATTTTAAAGAATGACCAGGCAGCGTGCTTTGTGGCTGAGGTGCTGCAGTAATGTGGATGCTTGACCAGAGTGATTAACCCGCAGCAGGGTTTGCTGTCTGGATGATATGCCCCACAACATTTTAAACCAGTACAATTAGAGGCAGCACCATATCTCGCTAAGCCACCAGTGTGGTCACACCCAATGTCTCTCTTTCCTCTGCTGCCCATCTGCCTATCCTGTCCTAAGCACTATGAAGTTTCTTAAGAGCCTTCTCTTCTTGGCCCATTTGTGCTTCTTCTTCCCCTTTCCTCCAGCTTTCTTCAACACCCACTCTTCCTCTTTTTCATTCTGCCGGCTACAGGACTCCACCCTTCCTTCACATTCCTTGCCCCTTAAGACTCTCTATCTTTTGGGACCCCTTTGCACACTTCAGCTTTAATGGCAACTAAAATGCCAACTTTCCCTTCCCTCAAGGAAGTCAGATTCCTGGAATTCTTCAAGCAGCCCCATAGCTGGACACATCTATTGTTAGAACTGAAGTTAAACGTGCGAAGGTTACAGATATAGGGAATTCAAGTAAAAGCACTAAAGATCAGGACCCAATCACCCCCCCCCCCAGCATTTGCCCGCCAGAACTAACCATCAGCTCCCCCCCTTCCCTCCATAGGCACGCAGCCTTTCATAGCAAGGAAACAAGAGCACAGACATTTGAGAAGCCAAGACATTTGGCATCGGGAAGGTGGCAAGCCCTAGACACTTCAAAGAGAGGAAGAGAGAGGAGCCTCCTGTCTCAATGACAGGCGAGCTGTAAACTGCAAAATGCACAGAGAGCCTGACAGGGGCACCAGCTAATTAAACCAAAGTTAATTAAATTAAGGCAGCCCTGCACCCTTGCCAGGCTCCAGGGCGAGTGGGGGGAGTAATGCCCCACAGCCGGAGCTTCCCTCCCCTCCTCCCTGGCAAAGGCACGGGGAAAACACAGCTGAGGGTTACGTCGGCGCTCACTATTAGGCATACTGCTCTGCTAGCCAGGCAGCAATGAGCAGTGGTAGCTGCAGGAGCAGCAACGGGAGGGGGGGATCCCCGGCAATGCCCGGGCTATGGGGAGGAAGAGGAGGCCTCCTCCTCCTCCCTCTCCCCTAGTGGGGGGGGCAGAGGGATCCCTGAGGATGCCTAGACCCCCCCCATCCTGCAGTGCTTGCCAGGCCAGGGCTCAGCCTGCCTGCCCTCCTCTCGAGCTCAAGCTTCAAAGCCAGTGAGGGCGAAGCAGGCAGTGGGCAGTAGCATCCAGGAGGGGGAGGGAGGGGAAAGAGATCCAATAGGGGGAGCAAGAAGAGGCAGCCAGGTGCTGACAGCAGGACACTCTCCCCAGCCCACCCGCCCAGGCTAGTCCAGCAAGACCGCCTGCCCACTGCCGATGCACCACTGAGCAAGCCAGGCACCTCCTGTTCCTGGGGCTGCAGCTGCCTCGGTCGCCACCCCTGCCGTCGCTGCTGTTCTGGGTGCTGCTGGCCACCCTGGCCCAGCTGGGGGTTCCATCTGAGGCTGGGAGTGCAGTGAGGCTGGTGGGGAAGCAGCCAGTGTGCTCAGGGCACACAACCAGGTCGGAGGCAGCACGGCACAGGCTGCAGGGTTGAAGCACTTTGGGACCAGTCCAGGAGGGAGGGGCCCAGAAGAAACACTGGGAGGCTGTGCCCCACAGGTCCTGCATTAGCTACGGGCCTGTCTGCAAGTAGTTTTCTTCCTGAGTGTTTTGCAAACATTCTGTGGCATCACCTCAATCAGCTAGCTGGTTATCAAAAAAAGTTACTGCTGCAGTATTCGTGTAAAATATTGACAGATGCTGCTGACAGAGCTGTTTCTGCTTTGATCTCAGGTTGGGGAACTTGATGGCCTCCAAAATGAGGCTGTCCCCAACTCTTCCAGCCTTTCAACATAATTTTAAAGCTCATCTTTTTCAGAGGACCTTTGAACTTAGATTTATTTATGTATTTAAAATATTTATATCCCATACTCTTAATATAAAATTCATGAGGCAGCTTATGCTAGCCAATAAAATCAGCAAGTACAGTAAAACAAATCAAAACAATTACAAAACAGTGATATAAAAATAACAGTGGATAAAAATCAATAAAGCATCATGGCAGCATTCCAATTAAAATCTTTAAACCAGCCTAGTGGATCTAAAACAATTAATGTGAAAAGTAGTAAAATACAGAAGCATAAAACATTTTAAAAGAGCAATACAGGGAATTAAAATATCAGAACAGGATCAACAAAAGCAACACCCTCAGAAGGGGAGTAGTTAAACTAAAAGCCCAGAAGAATAAAAACATCAGGTACTACAATGCCAAGACCACGTTCATACAGCCCAGAAAATCTACAACAACTTATGAACTCTGGCTTTGAAAGCCTTCGACAACATAAAAAGGCTTTGCCTGGTACCCAAAAGATAGCTACTTTGGAATGCTAGGTGTTTGGATGCTAGATGAACCTCAGTGGGGACTGAACTCCACGGTCTAGGTGCTACCATGGAAAAGACCATTAAAAGATTGACAGAAAAGTCCAGCCACAGCTATAGATCTTAGCTGGTGGGCAGGTCAGTAAGGGATAACGTGTTTCTTTGATATTTCCACAGACCATGTAGGGCTTCCTTGGAGACAGACCGGTTCTTCTGAGCAGTCTTCAAAGGCAGCTCCATGTAGAGTGCATTGTAGTAGTCTAACCCAAATCTTATCTTGTCTGGATTCATATGTGATCTTTCCCTTGTACTGGGTTCTTTCAGACTGCAGTTGGAGTGTCTTAGATTTCTCTTAAGCCATACTATAATATTCCTGCCACTTTCAAATTGGATTTTTAACAGACTGTCTGAAAGTGCTGCTGTTGAGTTTTTATGGCCTTTCACTACATTTCTGTTTCTTATAGTATTGATTTGCTTTAATATTACTGCTGGTTTAGGAGGGTTGCATTTGGTGTTTAAGTATTATTTGTACTGTAAGGCACCTGGTGTACTTGGAAAGGTGGGTTATAAATTGCCTAAAGGAATAAATATAAATTGTGCTCATACAGCAGGCAGTTGAACTCCCAGGATTCAGAGGGATAACTAGCCCAACCAGAGGCTCTGAGTCTCCCGCTGCACTGGCTTTCTTTTCTGCCATTTTTCTCCCTTCTCAGATTTGTTCTCTCTCCAGTATAAAAAGGTTTTGCTGACCATTAAGCCTCTTGACCTATAAGTGCTGGATGCTGGTGCTGGGGATGGAGGGGAGTGGGAAATGGGGGCTTTCATCTGCTTTTTTGGCCTCTGAAGGTTATTTCCCATGAGATTTTGCACACGGTTCCAGGGTGGTCTTTAAGTGTCTCTGTGGCAGAAACCCAACTGAGGTTTAGTTAGGCCATATTGGGGGGCGGGGGGGTGGTAGCAACAGGATTTGTGCACTCAGCAGAGTTAGGTGCTAAAGGACTCCAAGCTATCTCTCCTTATATATAATTGAATAGCGGGTGCCAAAGTTCTAATTCTAAAATGCACTCCCTTAGTGTATGGCTGATGGCACTGCTCCTCAGCATATATCACCACCAATCAGAAGGCAAAGCCCGGGTCCCGCCCACACCACAACTGCTGCGACAACCTGGTCTTTTGCATATGGAAGCTGATTGGACTTCACTCCATTCCACACTTCAAACTCCCCCCCCCCCCCGCAAGGCAGTTGGAATGTCAGTTGCATATGGAACCTGCTGTATTCTGGTGGTGTGCAGGTCCCAGGTTCATGTTTTAAAAGCAGACTGACACTGTTTGCCCAAAGCCAGAGCACTCTCCCAGAGCCTCTTTCTAGATCCTGTTGTATTTATTTCCACAACGGGCCTTATTTCTAGTAGATGTATATGCCAGGGAGGGGAGTGGGCTGCAAATTCAAATGCTGAAATAAATTCCCTGCACATACAAAGGTAGCATCTCAGTGAGAAGTCTAGATTTCTCCCTGACAGTCTGTTTTTTCTATATGCAGGGAAGACAGTTTTTTTTTGTTGGGGGGAAAACTATGAAGAAGCATTAAGTCATGCAACTTCCCATACACTTCCTGAAATAGTTCAGCATAGGAAAAACTTTACTGCTTGATGCAACTGGATGTATAAACTGGTTCTCAGCCCAGCATAGCTCAAATAATCAAGGTGAGAGCTGAAGGCAAGAGGAGGGGAGGTCAGAAAGCTGGCGGACTGTAGAGGCCAGGGTGCAAGGTCCTGAACTGTGAGCCAGAGCACACTAGGATGTGGTGAGAAACAAATTATCACCCCCAGATTATCATACACACCCCACAGAGGAAACCACCCACTGTGTCTCTGGATGATTCCTTGTTCTGTTCTGGTCTTGCTTCCTTCTTATTTGCTTCTGCTGCAGGCAAAGAACTCTGGAACATTCAGTTTCACTCTAAAATGAAGACACAGAAGAATTATCTGTACTCATTAAGATCACTGAGTTATGCAGGGGAATAGGGAGTGGTTCTCTTCCTCTCAGAACAGTAGTTCTCACGCACTCTAAAGTGAGCCTTTTGAGGTATAAGTAAGAAGAAGAAGAAGAAGAAGAAGAAGAAGAAGAAGAAGAAGAAGAAGAAGAAGAAGAAGAAGAAGAAGAAGAAGAAGAAGAAGAAGAAGAAGAAGAAGAAGAGATTTGATTTATACCCCCGCCCTTCACTTGGAGTCTCAGAGCAGTTTACAAACTCCTCTCCCTTCCCCTCCCCACAACAGACACCCTGTGAGGTGGGTGGGACTGAGAGAACTCTGACACAAACTGCTCTTTTTCAAGGACAGCTGTGCCAGAGCTTGTGTCTGACACAAGGTCACATCAGCAGGTGCAAGTGAAGGAGTGGGGAATCAAACCCGGTTCTCCCAGATTAGAGTCTGCACACTTAACCACTACACCAAACTGGCTCTCGTTTCCGCATGTGCCAAGGGATGGGCATGCAAGGCTACCCATGCGAGGGCAGCGGGGAGGAAGTCAAGACATGCAACGAGAAGTATTGGGACACCTCCACTTTTGATTTGGAAAAAAAAGTCTCTATTATCAGAAGTCTGGAAAATATTAGTCTAGAGGGTTGGCTTTCCATGTAGCAAACCTAGGTTCAAATCTCAGTCTTAGAAGTACCAATTAGATTGATCATTGGTCATGGTAGTTATCTGGATATTGTCTGTCACTGCAGTTGATAATACATGAAAATTAAACCTTGTTACTCAAGCCAGATAAGATCTGCAGAATTCAGAAGCCTTGGAGGAGACTTGCCTCCTGAGGAATTAGAATGAATTCCATTTGTTAAGGGCACCCTCACGGTCACGGCCTGGTGGGGAAGGGAGGAGGGGACAGTCTGGATGAAATGAGATCTGAATTATTGATAAATGGTTTTAATCATCTGTGGAATATTTGATTAAAGTAATTATCAGCCAAGTCGGTTCAGTTGCAGCCCAGTGATAAAGGAAGAATTCTTCCGTCTCCATTCTATTCTGTCTGCTCTTTGGGCTAATATGAATCTAAAGTTGGAAGTATGTGTGACAGCCAGGGAAAGGGGGAGATTGCCAGTTCAGAAGGGTCATCTGATTGTTCCTTTCTGCTCTCTTGAACCAAAGCGGATAGCACATGGGGACCTTGGAACCACTGGAGTTTGTGCTCCAAGACGTGTGACACAGGCTGGCAGAGACGTTTCCGCATGTGCCAAGGGACGGGCGTGCAAGGCTACCCATGCGAGGGCAGCGGGGAGGAAGTCAAGACATGCAACGAGAAGAAATGCCCAGGTATCCTTGCTGGGTTGCAGCCCTCCAACCTCCACTGGCTCCCCCAGTTCAGCCTGGGTGGTGGACAGAGAATCTCTCCCTCCCACCAGCTTGCAAAGAAACCTGACCAGCCCATCTACCCCTGCTCATCAGCTCTCTTTGGCAACTAACCAGCCAGTTACCTGCCAAGATACGTCTCATTGGCCACCTTTCCATCTTTCTCCTCCCCAAACCCAGTCACTTGCTTCTCCATCTGCTTTTTGGAGCTTTGGGGTATGAACTGAGAAAGCTTTACCCAGGTCCTCACCCTGGTGAGCTATCAGAGATTGTGTGAGCTCAGAGGAAAAGAAATGAGGAGGCTGGTGTATCATTCACACCAGCAGGTGGCAAGCAGGGTGAAGGCTCTAGATTGGTTAAAATTGTAGGGGCCTGACCTTCTGTTCAGGTCTGGTCACCTGAGCAGCTCCTGGAAGCCCATTCTCCACTACTGGTCCTGCTTGGTGTTGCCTGTAACTATCCCCAATCAGTACCCTCACTCCCCCATACTCTCTGTCAGTCCATAAACACACTCCCCTTGGTTCCTCCAAAAAGGCATATGCTCAGCTTACACCCACACAGAACCCCCTGTGGCTATCACCAACTCATTCATCCCCAGACTTTCAGGCTTTGTTATGCGGTTGTGTGCTTCAGGATTCCTGCCCACCTCCGCTGACCCCCCTTATCTTTCACCATCTTTTCCTTCTGCAGCGTACCACGAGATGTGCAAGGATGAATACGTCACACTGATGACCTGGAAGAAAGCTGCCGCCGGTGAAATAGTCTACAACAAATGCCCAGCCAATGCCACAGGTAGGCAGCTTGGTGGGAAGACATCCCCATAGAGGGAACCTAGATGGTATCAAAGGAGAGTAGGGGAGGAAGCCTTAAGTGTGGCAGATGGTAAAGATGAAGTCAGGTATGCCTTGAGATCTCTTTGCCCACCTGAGTGTCCCAGTGGAAACTAAGGCCCTTTCTGTAAATTTTGAAGGTACATCTGTACCAGCCAAAAGCTTTCTAATAGACTTTGCTGCTCTCTGCTAATTCCTGTAGTGCTTCAATGTAAAAAGTAGTTCTTCCATATTATATGTGCTAACTTCACAGTACCTTACATCCAGCACATTGCCCTGCCCTCATCTGTCACTAGAACTTTAAATCTTTAAAAAAATGAACTTGACCAGTTACACATCCAACCATTCATGAAAATGGCCTCTTTGCAACTTCATATAATTAAAAAAAATGCATATAGTTTTGTGTTTTGCCAAGACACCTTTTCAAACATTCCTCCCACACACACACACACCCCTTGAAGATTTTGCAATAGTCTTGCAAATTTAGCCATGTTGAAAAATGCACATGTTTAGTTGTTTGCAATTTTGGCAATTTTTTTTTTAAAAGATGCTAGAATCTACACCTTGAAACAATTTCCAAGTATCATGAGTGGAAGAATCTCTTATTTACTGTTAATATAAACCTAGGTTCATGTAGAACCTTTGAAACAAAGACATAAGCTGCGTAAAATGATAAGATTGTAACAGATGTTCTCTTGTGGAACCATGACATGTCTATATCCAACTACTGTAACTTCTTCCACACTGTGCCCATTTTAATTTTCCTCCTCTGTAATTCCCTTAATAAGCATTTTTGGAAGTTGGAAAGAGGTTGTCCAGCATATGGGAAATAGGTTGTCCAGCATATGGGCAAATGTGTATGTGTGTGTGTGTGAGAGAGAGAGATGCTTCTGGCAAAGTGTTCAACTTTGGAACCTGACGAGGAGGTTAGTACGTACAATGTGGAGGAACTAGTACAAATCCCATTTCTGTAAGGCTTGGGCAGGAGAATTTAACCCAGGCAGATTGTTTCTTCAACATAAATGGTTTCTGCAACCTTCAGCAAATGTCCCCCACCTGCTGTCTTCTCCAGTGTAGAGGTGACTTCTCATTGCAGCCATTCCATCACTTGGATCTCTCCAGGGTAATTTTGGGCAGCTGGTCTGGGTAGGACCAGGCACGGTGAATGTCCACAGATATGAGAGGTCTCTGGTTGTCTTATCTTTTTTCACCCCTAGGATCTGCCAGTCGCCGGTGTCTGCTGAATTCCCAGGGTGTGGCTTATTGGGGTGCACCCAGCTTTGCACGCTGCGTTTCCCATGAATACCGATACTTACATCTCTCAGTAGGTGCAAACTCTGACAGGCAAATGAGCCTCTCTCCTCTCCTCTCCTCCCTCCCTCCCTCCCCCCTCCTTTTTTTCTTCTGTACTGTTGTCTCCCCCACCACTACCTTGTAAAAAGGAGGGGAAACCTTATGGAAGGAGGAAAGGTGTGGCTGAACATTTCCAAGAGAGGTGGTTACACCATCAGCAAGAAAACTGTAACAGGCAAAGCAATAGCAATTTCATAATTCCTCATGTATTTCATTGATTGAGGAAGCTGCTTTATATACATGCATAAAATTCTGGCTTTTAAAAAGTGATATGCAGAGGTCATTTCGGGGGGGATCGCAGTTCTCCCGGGTGAGGTAGGGGGCGGGGCACATGACGAAGCCCCGCCCCCTGCTTCCGGCCACCCCGCTTCCGGCCCTCATTCAGCCAGGAGGAGGCAGGAGAAGAGGGAGGGTAAGTTGCTTCCTCCCTCCCTCTCCCCACCCCTGCCTGCCTGGGGCCAGGGAGGGCATTCGCAGGGCTTCCTTGCACTCCCGCCGGCCTTGCAGGTCCACCGCTGGGCCCCCCATGGGGCTCAGCAGTGGAGCTGCAAGGCCAGCGGCGGCAGCCAGGACCGTTGGGGGTGGGGTGTGTGGCCTTATGACACACTTCTGGTGATGTCAGGGGGTGTGGCCTTATGACACACTTCCGGTGATGTCAGGGGGTGTGGCATATGCTAATGGGTTATGCTAATATGTTCCCCTAGCTCTTTTTCTATGAAATGACCCCTGGTGATATGATTGGTTCTTCATATGCTTGTCTAGGTAATATATGTTGGAAAGGTGAATTCTGTTCTTTGTGCATCTAACTGGCCATGACTGAACATGTCAGTCTTCCAGAGCAAGTCATATGGGGGGGGGATGAGTAGAAGGAAATGGAGGGATGTTGTAATGCAGGAGTCCGAATAAAAGGGGCCGCATCAAGGCAAACGGAAGAAGAAAAAGATGAAATGGTGCAAAGGAAAAGGAATCTTTAATAATTATACAACCCCTATGCGTTTCGCGTGCAGCTTCGTCAGGGGGAATCTTTCAGACTCTTTTTAGGATCATGAAAGAAAGTAGGAATTTCCACAGAGCATCTTGGCTGATAACTGATTATCTTTCTAGATGGGATAAAGTTTAGTAATGTGGTGGTGGGGTGGCTCAGGATATTTTTCATTGCTCAGAAGTAGTTCTTCTTAAAGGAAAGGTTGCTGACCCCTGTTGTGATGGCTTTGGGTTGGGGTAGGGCAGTTCCCATTTAAGTCCTGTGGATTTCAGAGGGTTCAGATCTCCTTAGCTTCCTCCAGCCCCAGGAGATAAGTTTACACTGAACTCATCCAGCAGTCTAGATTCTTTATTCTGGCTGGGAGCAGCTCTCCAAGAACTAAGGCCTTTTTAACGGTCCTTTAACCGGCAGTTGAACCCAAGATCTTCTGCATGCCAAGCATGTGATCTAGTGCCAAGCTTGGGGCCTTCTCTGTTCTACCCTCCTTTTAAAAAAACAAAAACACACAACTTTACTCTGTCCCAAATTCAGCTCCGAGAGCATCTGGCCAAGGGGCAGCGCATGCTGGCAGGAGAAGGCATGTCTCAGGTGGTCCGTGGGCTGTTGGAACTTGTGGCACACAAGACATACTACAGTGGGGACCTTCTGTTCTCTGTGGAGATCCTGCGTAACGTCACAGACACTTACAAGAGAGCGACCTACATCCCCTCTGCAGATGATGTGCAGGTATTGACCCAAGATTTTGGAGATGGAACAGGTGCTTTTAAGGTGGAGGAGGAGGAGGAGGAGGAGGAGGAGAAGATTGGATTTATACCCCACCCTTCACTTGGAGTCTCAGAGCGGCTTACAAACTCCTTTCCCTTCCCCTCCCCACAACAGACACCCTGTGAGGTGGGTGGGGCTGAGAGAGCTCTGACACAAACTGCTCTTTTTCAAGGACAGCTGTGCCAGAGCTTGTGACTGACCCAAGGTCACATCAGCAGGTGCAAGTGGAGGAGTGGGGAATCAAACCTAGTTCTCCCAGATTAGAGTCCGCACACTTAACCACTACACCAAACTGGCTCTCCAAACTGGTGCAAGGTATGCCTGGGCAGAGGAGTGTTCTGAAGGAAGGGAGTCCTTTTTATGGCAGTGTGGCAGGGAGTGCCTCAGCAGCACTATGTCTAGGTGTTGGAGTGAATGAGGTCTGGGTTCTTTTTACTGTGTTCTAAAAAAAACCCAAAATTCAGATTCTGGCCCCCAGAAAGCCAAATGGTAACCCGCATACATGGTGCAATTCATGCATAGATTTTTATTTCACAGAAAATACTCTGCCATACTTAGGAAGGGTCAAGGTGGTATGTGGGATACTGGAGTGCCATTCCTAGAAGTCAAAAGCTTGCCTAGCAGTTATGCCAGCTGCTTCCTACTGCTGTTCGGTAGCTGAGCCATGATTAGGTGTTTCCAATATGGTCTCAAGCTCTTTTCAGTACATTGAGACCTAGAAACTTGCTTTTCAACAAAACACCAAAACCAGAAAAAAGAAGGGTGCCAAACTGTGAGCGGAGTTGCCACCACAATGTTTTGAAGTTTGTTTAAAAGTTGAGGAAGAAGCAAAGCAATTTTGATATGACTGGTAAAATTACTCAGGAGGTTTCCCACAAACCCCTTGATCTTCTTCATGGTCCCTGTGCAGTCTCACACATGGGTACCTCGCCTGCGCAGGAATCCAGCCTCGGTGAACTACAAGAGCTAGCCTCTGGCTTTTGGCGCACTCTTTTCCCAACCCTGGGGAAGGCAGCTTTTTTGGTGGCAATTACATCAGCTAAGAGGGCAAGTGACTTACGTGCTTTCTGTGCTGACCCACCCTATACCATCTTCCACAACGACAAGGTGGTCCTTCGTTTTCCCGAAAATTGTTTCATTGTTTCACACTTCTCAACTTACCATTTTGCCTACGTTCTTTGCAAACCCTATTGATGATGGTCAGAGGGCTCTCCATACCTTGGATGTCCGCAGAGCACTGTCCTTCTACCTTGCCAGGACCAGTACCTTTCGTAAGGGCCCTCATTTGTTTGTGGCTTATGGCAAACCGTGCCAAGAGCACAAAATTTCTCCCCAATAGCTGACTAAGTGGATTGCAGAAACAAGAAAGGGAAAAAACTGAACCTAACAAAGAACTCCAAAACCAAACAAAGGTTAGTGAAAAGGAGGGCCAATATTAAAACCTTTCTATAAAAAGAGGTACATGTATTTATTGATAATAACAAATTTAAAACATATATAGGGGCCCAATTAAAAAAATAAAGAATAGAAGATTAAACACACATATTTTACAACCAATTTAAAAATTTTCAAATCTATATAGCCAATCTGTAAATATAGACCACAAACTTACTTCAGAAGTAAAATAACCAGGCACAGGATAAATATGCACATAAGACCTTTATAGTGCAATCACTAGCCCAGTGATTAATTGGTTGTAAAATATGTGTTTAATCTTCTATTCTTTATATTTTACAGCAATTTACTTTATGGTCCTTATTGAATTTATACTTTGTATATATTTCTGATTGTGTTTATGTGAATATAATTATTAACCATCTAGCCACATATGTATGACCTCTGAGGAAGGCCTATTTGGCCGAAACGCATAAGGTCAACTTTTTAAGCCCTTGATATGGTTATGTTTTTTATATATTGGTTGTAATTGGGCCCCTATATATATTTTAAATTTGTTATTATCAATAAATACATGTACCTATTTTTATAGAAAGGTTTTAATATTGGCCCTCCTTTTCACTAACCTTTGTTTGGCTAAGTGGATAACCTCACTGATTGTGCTCTGTTACGAACTTGCAAAACAACCCTTATCTGTTATGTTGAAGGCACACTGCACAAGGGCTGTCTCTACTTCCTCAGCCTTTCTTGAAGGTGTCTCCCTGGAGGGCATTTGTGCTGCTGCCACCTGGTCCTCACAGTCTACCTTTGTGATGCACTATGCCCTCGATGTCAGAGCTTGGCAGGATGCATCTTTTGGATGGTCTGTACTCCGATCCATCTTCCACTGATGCCTGCGTCCCTCCTCCTCTCCAAGTAGACTCTTGCAAGTTTGTTCTTACATGTTTTGTCTGCACTTGTTGCATTGGTGGGTTGCCAGCACCTGCTGTCCATCTGTGGGAGGTCGCTAATCACCCATGTGTGTGAAACTGCACAGAGATCTCAAAGAAGATAAACAGGTTGCTTACCTGTAACTGATGATCTTCGACGGGTCATCTGTGCAGTCACACACACACACCCAGCCTTCCCCACTGCTGGCATCTCTCATGTGTTATTTCGTTCTCTTGCTGAGACTTGGCAGTGGCGGCTAGAAGAAACTGAGTAGGAGGAGGGCTCTTTCTCCGTTCCAGGCATGCGCAGTCAGTGCCTGCTCCCCAGGGGCGGGAAAGAGCATGCCAAAAGCCAGAGGCTGGCTCTTGTATTTCCCCAAGGTCAGTTTCGTATGCATGTGTGTGACTGCACAGATGACCATTCGAAGATCATCAGTTACAGGTAAACAACCTGTTTTTTGAGGCTGATCCAAAGGGGAAAGCATACAGAGAGAGAAGAGGAGATTGGATTTATCCCCCGCCCTTCACTACCTGAAGGAGTCTCAGAGTTGCTAACTTTTCCTTTCCCTTCCCCTCCCTACAACAGACATCCTGTGAGGTAGGTGGGGCTGAGAGAGGTCTCTTGAGAACTGCCCTTGAGAGAACAGCTCTGAAAGAACTTATGACTGACCCAAGGTCACACCAGCAGCTGCATGTGGAGGAGTGAGGATTCAAACCCAGTCCTCCCAGATTAGAGTCCGTGCTCTTAACCACTACACCAAACTGGGCTGTGTAACGGCTGAAGCCTTTCCCAGAAGCTGTCCCTCACCTTCTCCTTTCCCCCACAGCGATTCTTCCAGGTTGTCAGCTACATGGTGGATGCAGAAAACAGGGGCAAGTGGGAGGATGCTCAGCAGGTGAGCTGACGCACATTAGGCCGTGAGGCCAGATGTGTCTGGGGGGGGTCTTCTTTTTCTCTCATACACACACATACACCACCTCCTTGGATCTGCTTTCCAGGTCTTGCCTGGCTCTGTCCTCCTCATGAAGGTGGTTGAAGATTTCATCCATCTGGTGGGAGAAGCACTCAAGGCCTTCCAGAGTTCTCTCATTGTCACGGACAACTTGGGTGAGTGGCCAAAAGAGGGTGGTGGGAGGGAAAGTGTTAGAGGGGCTGCATTGGAAACCAGGCCTGGAGGAAAGTTCAGTGGTTGCAGCTGGAGACAGAGCTAGGCCTGGAACTGGAGGCTGAAATTTGTTCATTTATTTGTATTCTGACTTTCTTATAGAGACTTGAGGTGGCTTACAGAACTAGGCAAACTATGTAACGAAGACCAGTATAATACAAGTAGCAAGCAGTACAATAAAACTAGATTGCAAAATTAGAGAGCGCTGAAATAAAATCAGAAGAACGCTTCTAATAAACAATTCCAATTGGAATACAGCAGGCAGGAAGTCTTGCTCGGTTGTCTAGATGAGGGTTCCTGGGAATTGTGTCAGGCTGGCTCAATCCTGAGGCTTCATGTGGCCTGCCAGTCAGAGCAACCAATATTGCACACCCCTTGCTCCATTCTGTGCTCTCTGTGGCTGGAGCATTCAGAGTCCTGGGGAGCACACCAGACTAGATCCCCCAGCCCCAGACCATGAAGTTCCTGGTTCAATGCCTGGGATGTTGAAAAAGGGCTTAGAGGTATTGGCGATTAACTCATTAAAAAATCCGGTAGTTATGCCCTCCCCTTCCCCTGTGCTGTCCCCCTTTTTATTCTCTCCCACCCTTGGCAGTAATCAGCATCCAGAGAGAGCCAGTTTCGGCAGTCTCCAGTGACATCAATTTCCCCATGAAAGGTCGCCGGGGAATGAAAGACTGGGCACGGCACTCAGAGGACAAGATCTTCATCCCCAAGGAAGTGCTGAGCCTCTCATCCTCGGGTAAGTGTTGCTGGTTGAGCTGCTCTGCATCTGGGGTAGTGGTGAGTGGGCTATGCACGATCCCTTCATACACCTCTCTGTTGGAAGTAAAAAAGAAGGGCTGTGTGGATTGCTTGAGAGCACCCAGTTGCTTTAGCATTGCCGAAGTTGACTCTGTATTCATGTGATGACCAATGTGTGGCTATTATAGAAGTAAAATGTATGCCAGTATGGAAAGTTGCATTTTCCAATTTTAATTTTTAAATAGTCGCTCAGCACATTTGAAATAATTCTGGAAGATATGGAGTTTGAAATCTATATTTTAAAATTCTGTTTATGTTATTTATAGTCTGCCTTGCTCACTGAGATTCAGGGTGAATTACACAGTGTGAGTTAACACAGTCAACAGGATGGGACATCCAATAAGCAATGCACCAATATTGCCTGATTGTTCACTCCTCTTTCTGCACAGAAACAGATGAATCGGCCTATTTTGTCATCGGTGCCATACTGTATCGTACGCTGGGATTGATCCTGCCTCCTCCTCGGTGAGTAGTTCACATAAAACTTGTGTGTGAGGCAGAATGCTGTAGTGCATTAATACTTATCTCCAGGGTTCTTTTTGTAGAAAAAGCCCAGCAGGAACTCATTAGCATAATAGGCCACACCCAACAGCAGGAACTCATTAGCATATTAGGCCACACCCCTGCCGGCACAGCTCATTGGCACATTAGGCCGCACCCCCATGTTACCAGAAGTGTGCTCATCCAGCCACACCCACCTTTTGCTTCTTATTCTGTTTACCTCGTTTGTTGTCAAAACCCAGGGCTTTTTTTGTAGCAGGAACCCCTTTGCATGTTAGGCCACACACCCCTAATGTAGCCAATCCTAATGAGTTTCTGCTGTTGGGTGTGGCCTATTATGCTAATGAGTTCCTGCTGGGCGTGGCCAACTCAGGAGCCAGCCGGAACTCCGTTCCTGTGCGTTCCTGCCCAAAAATCGCCCTGCTTATCTCCAAAGAAATGTCAAGGGGGGTATGTGTGCTGTCCATTGCAAATATCCACACACCAGAGACGTAGTGTTCTGTTTCGCCCTGGATAATTTCCCATTTCTAAAGATTCATTGTGCAATTAAAGTTAATTACAACAAAATGGATGCCACTGCCAACAGAGTATTTATTTATTTACTTTGTACCCCATTTTTCTTCCCAATGGGGACCAAAAGCGTCTTACAGCATTCTGTCTCTCCATTCTCCACAACAACCCTGTGAAGCATACCAGGCTGAGAGTATTGCCCTAATATTATATATTAGGGAAGTTTGGCATTTTCAAAATTGTAATCAATATTTTTAGGTGATTACCCCTAAAAACTGTGTGAGAGAATAGATGTATGTTTTCCTGGATTTGTAAACAGGAAATGTTTCCAGAATTCTTTCCAATTCTAATTCTTTCAGAAACCCCATATCACTGCCTCAAAACTGCATGCACATTTAAGTGAAACCAAACACATTTGTCACTACCTAATCTATTGGTTAGCACGTGTGTGTGCCCACAGACACACAGTCACACAAATGTGTCAGAGACTGTGGAGTTAAAACCAGAGGCCATAGCAGCAGCTGCTATAGTCTGTCCTAAGCTAGCTGTCTGGGACTGTGAACCGGCCTATGCCAACTACAGACTCTTGCTGTGAACCGGCCTATGCCAACTACAGACTCTTGGAGCTTGCTGACTTTTCCTCAGGCTTGGCTTCTCTATCTTCTGGCTTCTGCTCCATGCTCAGGACCCTGACCTCAGGATTCCTGAGCCAGAGAATGGCAAGTTTAGATTCAGCCTATGGCTCTAGCCTGGCCTCAGATAGCAAATAGAATACATAACAAAGATCTGCATACATGTGCAAACTTTTCTGGAGAAAAGGACCGATTTCACACAAGAGCTGCGCCGCGGTCGCGCCTCCTTTTGCCCCGCTTCTATTGGTCAATTTCCCACTTGAAGCCGCACGGCCGCATTTTGACCCGTGGCTTCGCCCAATTTTCCCTGCGGTTTCGTGATCCTCAAAAAACAGGATCACGAAACTGCGGGGAAAATCGGGCGAAGCTGCGGGTCAAAATGCAGCCGCACGGCTCTTCGAGTGGGAAATTGACCAATAGAAGCAGGGCAAAGGGAGGTGCGACCGCAGCACAGCTCTTGTGTGAAATCGGTCAAGGTGTCCCCTGATACCTGCAGCATGCCCCCCTTTTTTGCATATGTATGCACAAATTATCTTTCTTTCCCACACCCCCATCCCTTTCAGTCTCCATCCTTCTAATTCAGCTTGGTGTACTGTTTTAGAAACAAAACCTGGACTCCGCAGAGCTGTTGTGGATGAGGAGGCAGTCTGAAAATTCTCTCTCCCCAGGAAGTTGGAGCTGGCTTATTATTCCTCCCTACTTTCCTCCCTTTGACTGGGCCTCACCTGGTCACAGTGTTTCTTCCCTTCTAGAGCAAATTTAGTCTTCAATGGGTTGTTGTGTTTTTCCCATTTGGTTTGTGTGTTTGTGTGTGTGTGAATTGCCACCGAGTCACTTCCAAATTATGGCAACCCTATGAATTAATGACCTCCAGAACGTCCTTTTGTAAACAGCCTTGCTCAGGTCTTACAAACTGAGGTCCATGGCTTCCTTTATTGTCAATCCATTTTATGTTGAGCTTTCCTCTTTTCCTGCTGCCTTCAACTTTTCCTTAGCATCTTATTTTTCTGCATACAGGGGAGGTGCCCAGATATGTAGACCCTTCTTTACTTTACGAGTGGCCTGGTTTACTTTTATTTTTTGTGTATTTCTGCATCTGTGTGTGTTTTCCTTGTGCCTGGAAGTCATGGCAACCTCTGGCAACTCCTACTGGGGCACAGAGGACATTCAAAGAAGTGGCTTGATAGCCTGCCTCCGCCTCCTGACCCTGGTATTCTCTGGAGGTCTCCCATCCAAGTACTCGCCAGAGTCGGCCCTGCTTAGCTTCTCTGATGAAATTGGGCTTGCCTGGGCTATCCAAGTCAAGGTTGTGTCTGGTTTACTTCTAGATATTGTGTTCTAAATAAACAGCAACAAGTCTACCTGATTGGGGGGTTCGGCAAATATGCCATTTAGCCTGTGATGATCCCAACTAGTTTCAGTTTTATCCCAGCCATTAACAGGTCTGTGAGTTCTTCTGGAAGATGCTTGAGCCCTGATTTCTAGGCAAGAATCTCATTATTTCAAGACTACTTCTGTGCATGCCTTTAATGTGCACATGAACACATGAAGCTACCTTATACTGAATTAGACAATTGGTCCATCACAGTCAGTATTGTTTACTCAGACTGGCAGTGGCTCTCCAGGGTCTCAGGCTGAGGTCTTTCACATCACCTACAACCTGAGTCTTAACTGGAGATGTAGAGGATTGAACCTGGAACGTTCTGCGTGCTAAGCAGATGCTCTACTGCGAGCCATGGCCTCACCCCAGCTTTAGGGCACAGTAGGGTGGTCAGGAAGATGCTCTTGATCCCTTGTAGATATTTCAATGATTTAAAAATGTAAGGGTGGGGGGAGACACATAACACAGTAGCTCATACTTTATTTATTTGTTTATTTATTTATTAAATTCATACCCCGCCCTCCCCGCTGAGGCAGGCTCGGGGCAGCTTACATCAAAATTATTAAAGCAAATTAAAATTTTAAAACAATTTTAAGGTGCTGTGTGTAAACATTACAAATAAGATGGTGGAACATAGTTTTTAAACATTAACCATACAGGTGTCTGGACAGAATGGTTACAGACCACTATCTGGCCCCAATAATGGACATCATCACAGTACAATAGCCAATGGTGGCTTCCAGGGCAAGGCTCAGATGTTATAATAGTTGTTAAATATGGCAGCTCCATCAAATGCCTGGTGGAAGAGCTCCGTCTTGCAGGCCCTATGGAACCGTGATAACTTCCGCAGAGCCCTAACATCCTCGGAGAGCTCATTCCACCAGCGCAGAGCCTCCACAGAAAAAGCCCTGGCCCTAGTCAGAACTAGTCTGGCATTTCCCCCCCCCCCCAACCTTGCAAGGACCAGTTGTTGGGGGAGGAAATTGAATGAAGGCAATTGGCATGTTGTGCTCCCCTCCCCCAGAAAAAAAGCACTTGGGTTTTTTTTCAAAGTCACAACATTACCTACAATCTAGCTTCAGAACTCCTCTTGAGAAAATCAGCAAACTTGTTTTCCTTCCCTCTGCAGAAGTCCCTTGGCTGTCATGTCCAGAGTTCTTACAGTGACAGTGAGGCCACCAACCAAGGCTGTGGAATCCTTGATTGCTGTGGAATTGTCCCACATCTTCAATGTAAGTTCATAAACCTCCCCACACTCACAAATTAGTGTGACATGGAAACTGTGAAGCTGGGATGGCAGGTAGCATCCAGTCCCAAAGGTTTTGTCTTTGTACATATATATTCTGCTGGAGTCCCTCCTTATCCAGCTTCCACTGATGTGTCTTGCATACTAGAAAATAATGGGTCAGAGATTACACCTTCTATAGAGGGAGCATGGTACAACCAAATCCTAAGACCTCAGGTTCCTCTGCCCTGACTTTTGTAGCCATCACATACATTTCCCTGAAGCAAAGCGTGTCTCCATAGCCCCTAATTTTAAAAAACAAAACAACAAAATTAAGTCTTGGGTTCTAGCAGAGGATAAAATGCAGTAGATGGGTTTTGGGTAGTTGGTTTGTTTTGTTGCTCGGGGGACGACCCACCAACACCTTGTAAATTGGAAGCAGAACCAGAAGAACCCAACCTTCTGGCTATTGGATTACAATGAAATGTCCACGTCAGCTTCTGCTGTGCCCAATTTATCTCTCTCCTTCCTTGTCTGCCCCACCAGGGCACCTCGCGTCCTCAGTGTGTGACTTGGGAGTACACAAAGCCGTGAGTACATTTTAGCCTACTATTGTGTGGTGTGTTTGAGTGTAGATCTCTCATGGTAGATGTTGGGGCTGCATGGACAATGGGTGGGAGAGGTGGAAGGGGATGGCTCACTCTAGTGCCTATAAAGGGAACTGAGGTGTGTATGTGGGGGGAAGCTGAAAGATGATTCTCCTAGCTTTGCTCACAGTGTTTTTAACTTTACCTGCTCTGCTCTGTGGTCCACTTTGAAGCCTGTCTTGCCCACTCGCCTTTCCTGGGATCTGCAGTGCTCCTTTGGCTGAAAAAGAGTGCCATCAGGTGGGAAAGCATTTTTTAGCCCAGGTGGAAGTATTTCTACTCACTCTGGGTGCATAGACTGACTGCTTCCATTGGTGCCACAGTTGGTCTTCTGGTAGTCCCACAAGTAGGATTTTTATATAATCCCTGGGAGAGTTGGGTTGAAAACAGTTATCCAAATGTAACCTCTCAATAGAGCTATGCTCAAGGATGTCTTCCTAAAAACTCATCTTGTTAGGAGCTACATCGGTGGTGGAACATGCTGTCTAGTCACAACCAACTTATGGCTACCGTGTAGGGTTTTCAAGACAAGAGACGACAGAGATGGTTTGCCATTGCCCTCCTCTGTTAGTGACCCAGGACTTCCTTGGTGGTATCCCATTCAAGTACTAACTACGGCTGCCACTGCTTAGCCGATGAGATCGGCTAGCTGGGCCAGGTCAGGTTTTATTAATAGTGTCTCTGTTAGGATTCAAAGAGATTAGTTGAGCCTTATAAGAAGACAAGATCAGCTTCTTGAGATTGTGGCAGTCAGCCAGGATATGTGCTTGTATTCAGGGCTTACATTGTTTATGAACAAGATAAGCAATGCCTTTTGTGTCTTTCCTGCTCTATTGGGTCTCGAGCTGTCCAGCAGTCCAAGGCTGTGGCTATCTTTGGATTTTGTTTGTTGTGGTCTGTAAATACAGCATGTTTTCGTGGATGAGCCCATTGTGTATTGCTGAGACCTGGCTGTTTCTGGAATCCATATCTGTGGGGGTTTTGCATATCAGATGAAACATATTTCGTGTACCTGGCGGGAAGTATTACACCTATTCCAAAACTATTACACTGGTTGCTTACTTCTTTCCAAGCTCATTTTAAGAAGCTGGTTCTTTGCTTCAAAGCCATTTATGACTTGGGGCCCATGTATCTGATGGACTCTGTCTCCTCATATGAACCCAGGTACCACTTATAGTCCTCAAGCTAGGTGACATAAGCTTCGTCAGTTTCCTGGTACTGTCCTGGCTCAGTACATAACAACTTCCAAAGCCCCCATTGAAAAGTTTTGGTTTTTCCAGAATTAACAAAGTTGATGCCTTCCTGACTTGTTCCAGAAGGCTATCCCATTATTTGGGTAAAGGTAAAGGTTCCCTTGCTCGAAAGCCAGTCGAATCCGACTCTAGGGTTGCGGTGCTCATCTCCATTTCAAAGCCGAAGAGCCAGCGCTGTCTGAAGACGTTTCCGTGGTCATGTGGCCGGCATGACTAAACACCAAGGCGGACGGAACGCTGTTACCTTCCCACCAAAGTGGTACCTATTGATCTACTTGCAATTTCTTGCTTTCGAACTGCTAGGTTGGCAGGAGCTGGAACTAGAGACGGGAGCTCACTCCGTCATGCGACACCCGGGTCTCGAACTGCTGAACTACTGACCTTCCACAGCCTGCAGTTCAGCGTCGTAACCACTTGAGCCACCGCAGCTCCTTATTTGGGTACTGCTGCAGAAAAAAAATACAGATGTGATTTGCAACAGTAAGTCCCTTTCTGTAAGCAGGCAAGAGAAGCAGACTTTGGATGGAGTAATATAGGGGTTGCACAGGGATATACTGAGAGAGACTGTCCTGAAGAGATCTCAGTTCTAGGCCAGAAAGGGCTTTTAAAGGTTGTCACCAGCACCTTGAATTGAACCCAGGAGCAAACTGTCAACTAGCGTAAAAGCCAGGATAGTGCATGTACAAGGACCAGCTTCAGATAGCAAACAAGCTGCAGAATTTGGCACTCAGTTGTCTGAAGGGCAACCCCGTACAGAGCATATTACAGTCTCAGGGTCACTGTGGTATGGATCCATGTGGGCTGAGTCCATGAAAGGAGCCAATTTAAATGCTAAATGAAACTCTAAAAAAGCACCTTTTGTTATAGCACTCACCTGTTTCTCTCATAAAGAGCAGCCTTCAACAGGGCCTGAGGACCCTTAACTGATAAGGATACATTAACTCCATTGAAGGAGAGCAGCACAGTGCCCTCAAGGATGTTGCCATTGCCAGCCAGCATCCACTCTACTCTGTCTTGTTTGGAGTCGATTTCAGTTTGTTTCCCCTCAGCCACTTATCCATGGCAAACAGACACTGATCCAGAACAGAGTACATATCTATATCTAACTGCATTAACAAGGTAGGTTCATGAAGGTTAAGAGTGGTTTCATACTGTTGCTGATCCAGTTGGGCTCAGAAAGCTTACCTGCTTATTTGTTCACACTTCATGGGTTCTTTTTGCCCCACCCCCCTGTATAGTTACGTGATGTCCTACAAATAATTTGTGCATTTAAAGAAAGATGTTCTTTTTACATTGTTTATTAGGTGTTCTTTGGAGACAGGATGAGAGCTACCTATTTTGCCCACAGATTCAAGGGCTAAACTTTGACCTTTTTCTATTTTATTTATTCATCTTCTGTCTTCTTGTGCAGCCCCACATTGGGACCGCGCTTGCACAGACCAACCATAGACATGTTGTTTCTAGTTTAGAGCTCCAAAAATGGGGGCAACCTGCCCCTTTTGGACTTGACACATGTGGGTTTCCCACCAAATGCATCACATACTCCGACAGTAGGCATCCCCGTCTCTCAGTTCCATGAGGTTTGAGGCTTTTCTTAGCTCCATAAGGTCCCGCCTCCCTGAAGCCAGCAATGGTGACAAGAGACATTACCAGACCAGAGCGTGCAAGGATCTAAATCAAAGTGACTTTAGCTATTATAAAGATATTCAGTGGCAAAACGTAAGTGAAGAAGTTTAGAAAAGAAAGACAAATGAAAAGCGGGTGTGGGAACCAACAGAGAGATGGCAAAGTTCCACAGGTAGAAAGGGAGGAGGTAACCTCTCAGAGGGGGAGGAGGAACCCTACCCTAGAAATCAGTGTTAAAAGTATCGGAACGAGAAGCTAAGCTGAAACTCTACTGTTGGAAACCCACCCAACAGACTCTGAACGCAGTGGGCTTTACTATACATCGCAGAGAAGAATCTTAGAACTTTAAAAAACTTTTACCTTAATGTAAACAATGACGCAGCAAGGGGGGGGAAATGGCGACTAGAGTCAAAGTGACAACAGGAACTGCCAGCACAACATCACCGGTCACAAGATCAGGAACTACTTCTGGTATTGCTGGTACGATTTCTTTCTTTTCTTTTAAAAACTTTTTTATTTTCTAAAAACTACAAGAAAATAGGGAAAGGGAAACTATAAACCACAGGAGAAAGTAAAGATAGACCACTAAAAATCCAAGAGGTGGTGGTCATATAATGATTACAATAAAGTAGCTTTAAATAAAAAAGAATAATTTGTTACATTGAAGGTGATCGTTAAAATCGCTTACATATTTCAAGTCCAGGTATTCTGACTTAGTAAAGAACCATACAAAGGAACGGTTAAATAAAAAGAATCAAAAGTCAAACTTCAGAGAAAATTAGCATCTCATTTGCCTCTTCTTTCCTTCAATTGATATCCTTGCTTGGGGGCAGACGCCCCACGTTCCGAATCCGAGTCTTCTCCAGTAATTCATCATCACTCCCCTTGTTGCTCTTCTCATCCTCTTCTCCTGTTGGATCCAATTGTTGCTGCAGAAACTCTATTGCTTTCATAACAGAGTCAATTTTCCCCCTCTTATCTTGAAATTTGAAGAGTAGGATATGTTCTTTTGTAGAAACAAAGCCAAGTGTCTATATTTTTTCCTTTTTCCCCTTATTTCAAAGGGAATGTCTTTCAAAACTCTTATCTCCTTGCCATCAATTTTAAGTGTAGTTTCATTTGTTGCTTTTAAAATCTGGTCCCTCACGTATCTTCTGGAGAATCTTACCACCACCTCGCTGGGCAGATTATTTTTCTTTATGTATTCTGAATATGACCTATAGATCACATCCATTTCGCCTTGATGAAAATCCACTTTAAAATCTGCAATTGGTCCCAAAGCATCACTCAAAATCTGTTTAAGATTCTCCCCTTTAGTCTCTGGAACTCCCTGAAATCTCAGTGTAACGCTTGCCTTTTCCATTTGAAGCTGTAAAAGCTGGGCTTCATCAGAGTTTTTCTTTTTTTCTATCTCCTGCACTTGCTTTTTGAGTTTTTTGGCGTTCGCATCCACTTCTTTAAGATTCTCAGCTGTTTGCTCTGTTTTTTAAAAAAAGTCTCGTCTAGTTGCTTTTTCTGTGCAGCGAAGTTTTGATTAAGTGTCATCATTTGCTCCAGAAGGGGTTGCAATGCTTCTGTTAGCATCTTAGAGAAGTCTGTGGTTGTTTCCAGTCGCGTGACCACACTTGCTGGGCAAGCACTTCCTGAAGGAAGCTTAGGTTTCATTTGCTTATCTTTCTCCATCTTCTTCAGCAACATCTTTGAAGCTATTTACCTTTAACAAAGTTTGCCAAAAGTCTCTAAAGTCTGCAAATCGCCTGTAATTATCTTGTAAGTTCCTTACTATAGTCCTATTTTGCTTTCAGTTCTGCCCCCCTTTAAAAGGCATGCTTTAAGTTTGTTTTTATTTCCGTGGGGGGGTTCTTGCCCCCCCCCGCTTACTTTAGGGGGGACTTTCAGCCATTTCTCTGGTTCTCATTTCAACCAAACTCACTCCCAATTTAGATCATGTAGAACTCACCATCAAACATGTAAAACGCTCGACCTTCACTCATCCCAGTGTGCGTCTCTGAGTCCAGTACTGGAACACAGTGGCGAGACCGTCGGGGCATCAGAACACCTCAA